TTTAGGGTTTAGGGGTTTAGGGATGCCCGGAGCCCGTACACCCTAAACCCTCTGGTGGCATTAGTCATTACAGACTCCGGAGGATCAAGCAAACCTGTGAGGGTTCTCATCTATAGGGGCCTTTCGAACGGGGGTTTAGGGTTTAGGGTTTGGGGTTTGGGTTTTAGGGGGGGGGGGGGGGGGTGGTTCTTGCGGTGGAAGAGCTTCCTTATATAAGTGCTCAACAAAAGTAGGTTCTTTGAGATCTAGGCAGACCATATATAAAGCCTAAGCATAAACCCCTAAGCTCAAAGCTCTCAACTCTAATCCCCCAGACCTTCTAAATCGCCTCTGCACCCAAACCCCATATCAACCAACAACCCCTAAACCCTAAATCCTANNACCCTCAACCCTAAACCTCAAAAACCGGTGCGAACCCTAAACCCTGTGGTAAAGCCCAGGTAGAGAATGCAAACCCCTAGATCCTAAAGCCTTGCAACTTTGCTCGCAGATACCTTTGGCCTGCGCTCAAGGTTTAGGGTTTAGGGTTNNGTTTAGGGTTTGGGGCTTGGGTTTTGGGGTTTGGGGTTTAGGGTTTAGGGTTTAGCCTGCAACAAGGGGGCTCACGACAAGCACCGATGCTTGGTGACCTCGAGCCGGGGCGGCCTTGCTAGAATCGGTCGCCGCCACCTGGACGTCAGGGGTTTTGGGTTTAGGGGTTTAAGGTTTGTTGAGGGGTTTAGGGTTCAGGGGTTTAGGGTTTAGGTGTTTCAGGTTTTTTTGGGTGAGGGGGTGGTTTAGGGTTCAGGGGTTTAGGGTTGAAGGTTCAAGGTCAACGAGCTTTTGAAGTGACACGTCAACACCAAAGTTCCGAAGAAGCAATGCAGGAGAGCTCAGAAGGCCGGCCGTCCTTCATCGTGGGGTAGAGCTGTGCAGCAGCTGCGAGGACGGCAGAAGTTGTCCAGAATTGCAAGCTCGCTGTGATGATGCTGATCTGCGATCCTTTAGCAGACTCCTGCTCATTATGTGGGCTCTGGAAGAAGAAGAACACCAGGGCGACCAGAATGGGGCCAGAACCGATCCCAAGGGTGTTTGCCACGAACTTGTTCAACGAATGGACGGGCCGGTCGGCGACTGGCGAAAGCTTTACGATGCAGCACTTCATGACCTGGGTTGTTCAGGGTTTAGGGTTCAGGGCTGCTTCCAAGGAGCTTGACATGAAGTTACCATAACAAGGGAACCCGGTGATTTGCTACATGCCTAGTTCGGGCAAACCCTAAACCCCAGACCCCAAACCCGAAACCCTTGACGCCAGACCCTAATCGTACCTGACCCTACCTAAACCCTACCGAAGCCCTAAACCCTAAACTCTAAAACCATAAACCCTGAACCCTAAACCCCAAAACACTAAAATCCTAAACCCTAAAACCCTAAACCCTAAAGGCCCTAAACCCTTCAACGCAACCCAAAAGGCCTGGTCATTCATTCCATGCCCAAAGCCCTGGAGGACCCTGGCGGCCATCAAGAAGTAGATCCAGCCTAAGGTTTCCGGTTTAGGGTTTAGGGTTTAGGCTTTAGGGTTTAGGCTTTAGGGCTTAGGGATTAGGGTTTAGGGTTTAGGGTTCAGGGTCTAGGGTTTCGGGTTCAGGGTTTTAGGGTTTAGGGTTTAGGGCTTCGGGTTTACGTTGGGTACTACCCCCATGCAGTAACCTTCAAAACTAGGGCTACTACTAAGGGCCTGATATATCCATAGTATGAACAGTACCCAACGGTTGCTTAGTGGGGGCAGTATCCAGGGTTTAGGGCTCAAAGGTTGGGGAATTTCGATCCTCCGAAGTCCAATAACGGGAAATACCAAACATCCCAAAGGCCTCCCTAGCAGCTGTTGTCACCTGTATCCCTTCCATCCAATGCTACCTTCACGAAGCCCAGCGCACCGAGGAGTTGGCAAGAAAGGCCTCCTAACAGGAAATGCTTGACACCACCAGTCTGCCAGGCATCTGGAAACGCATTTAAGATCATCCAACAGACAGTGGTGCCAACAGCACTTGCAGTCATGTAGACTCCGATGAAGAAGCCAGAAATTGAAGCAGCGTTCGTGGCTCCCAATGTCATGCAAAGGGGGTATGCACACAGAATCCTCAAAACTGGAGGCTTCCCCACACAAGTTTGCCCGGCTACACAACTGTGGCTACACAGGTTTCTGAAAAGTCCAAGCGACACCGAGCTGTAGTTGATGAATCCTTGAACGCAAATCAGCAAATTCACCTTGGCGGTTCGTGTTGGTGTAAGCTTCCCAACATCCTATGCTCTATACCCAACACGCAACCTTGAGCCCTAAACCCTCCACTTTGAACCCGAAACTCTGCACCCTCAGGCCTAAACTGCCGGGATCGCCGCTCCATTTGCATGGGTGCTCGAGGCTCCGACCGAGGCTCATGTCCTCCCAGCCATGGAAGGCGACATGGGTTTTGCTGGGTCTGCCTGGGGCCCTTCCAAGAGGGCCTAGGAGGCCCCCGTCCCTCAGGGCGCGACCCCAAATTCCCAAAAAGCGACCCGAAACCAAAACATGTAAATTGTTGGGCTTCCTTTGAAAGTGTGTTCACCACACTCCGCCTTCTTTTCCAGCGGCGGTTTGCTGTGAAACGTGGTAGCAGGAAAGCCCTTGGGCAGTCAAAATAAGGTCCGTTTTGGGGGTCCTTTGTATAAGGGTGCCGTACTATATTGGTGATCTAAAATGGGACCCTAATTTGGAGAGCTATCCCCTTGTTGAGAGGGTTGGGTTGTAAGCCCCATGCCCTGACGCAGGCGTGATAAATGAGTGCGCGCCCACCACGTGCACACTGTACACACACCCCAGACTCCACACAATAAACCCTAAACCCCAAACTCTAAACCCAAACTCTACACCCTAGACCCCAAACCCTAAACCCAAACTCCAACCACAAACTCTACACCCAAGCCCCCCGACCTTCAATAGGAGATGAGGGGAGGGTTTTGGGGATATAGACCCTCTCAATAAGCGCGCGTTTAAGAGAGCCAGAAGTCGGGTTAATGAAGGGTCCCCTTTAATTTGTGTCTCCCCAAAAACTACCTAGGATCCAATCCGCAACCCTGAACCCGAAACCCTCGACCCTAAACCGCCCTCAACCCTCAACCCTCAAGCCTGAACCCGAAACTTTAAACCCTGAAGATATGCACCCCTAAGACCCGCGCCTTGGGGGGATTCTGCACAGCAAGAACTGAGGCGCTGGCATATAGGGCGAAGCTCGCAGGGCACGTCCGGTCGCGCCACTTCGAGGCCAGTGCGATGAGCCCGATCACCACTGCAACCCCGAAGACCGTGAAGATAGGGACGGCCGGAAGCACAGAGGGTTTCTGAGATGGCTTCAAGTGGTCCCCCTGCTGGGGGTGATGAGCAGCGAATGTAGGGGAGACCGTAGAAGCATGAGTGGCTGTCCAAGCCTCTCGGGATATGAACCCCACAGGCTCTTCTCGTAAGACAGAGACGCTCATGCACCGTCTCTCTCTCTCTCTCTTAAACTCTCACGCTCACTCTGCAACGCAGTAGAGTTTGGTCAAGCCTGGCCTGTCGTCCCGGAGCATCTGAATCTTGAGCGAGAAGGGTGAGCAACGGAGCCACGAAGAAGGGTGGCTTCATGGCAAAAGTAGTTTTACGTAGGACAAAGTGATTTCACTAAGCAGGTCTCGAGAAAGAGCAGGTGGAACATGTCGAACGTCTCACCACAAAAAACCCCCAACGCGAGCGTTGTCCCACGGAGATTACGTGGCCCAGCCCGGTCATTCAGATATCTGCTCACACGCCACAAACATTGTCCACTTTGAGTTCCTTCTAGTCTTGTAAGAACTACAGGACGGCCATACCCTAAACCCTAAACCCTAAAGAAGAAGCCACATCTTTGTCCTCCATCACCGATGAAGTTCTGGCTTAGGTCCAAGCTGATCCACGGGCAGGAAGGGCACAGCGCCTCGCTTCAGGGATTGGTTTGCGATAGAGGCCGGAATAATTGCCCCCTAAACTCTACACCCTAAACCCTAAACCCTAAAACCCTAATCCCTAAACCCTAACCCCTAAAACCCTGAACCCTAAACCCTAAACCGATGTTATCTCGAGGGCCTCTTTTTGCTACGCACATGCGGGGCTTCAGGCATTTTCGGAACCGTAGAGGAGGCCCCCAGGGCCTTCTGAACGTGAGGTTTTTACGCGTTTAAGACTTCGAGGGTAAGGGGAGGGTTTAGGGTCTAGGGTTTAGGGCTTAGGGTTTAGGGTTTAGGGTTTGGGTGTGGATTTGAGCTTCGAGTGAAGTTCGGAACTTGCTGCCGCGGTCCCTCCAAGAACGGTGAAACTGTGAGGAGCCGGATGCTTTCCAGCCGTGATGGTCTTAAGATGCCTTCAGGTTGAGACAAGACCAGGGTTTTGAGGTGTCACTGAGGGCCCGGACAACACCGGGGGAGTTGCGTGAACTAAAAATGAGAACAGGGTTCTGGGTGCAGATTATGGCATCATCATGAAAAGGCGAACCCTCAGGGCCATGTCAAGGAAGAGTGTTGATACTGCTGATGATATAAATCCTACATTACCTTAAGGACCCTAAAGTATGGGAATTATGGGTATGTTCCTTATTGTGGGTAATGCAGGATTTATATCATCAACCGTACTCTGTTAAAGGCTTCTATGTGTGGCAGCAGGTAGGATTATGCTTAGGTTCGGGCCACCTCTTCCAAAAAGGCTCAAGGGAGCTCACTTCGGAGACTCATCGCCCCCAACACATAACCTGCCTTCCGTGGATCGATGATTGCCTCGGCCAGAAGCCAGAGCCCCTCCCTGACCCTAAACCCTAAAGCCCTAAACCCTAAAGCCCTAAACCCTAAAGCCCTAAACCCTGAAGCCCTGAAGCCCTAAAGCCCTAAGCCCTAAAGCCCTAAAGCCCTAAACCCTAAAACCCTGAACCCTAAACCCTAAACCCTAAACCCTCAACCTTTTGCGGTTGAGGCTTTAGGGCCCCACCTCCCGGCCCAGAGCCCTGAGCCCTCCCGCTGCCACAAGGCCCCCTAGCGCCTAAACCCTAAACCCTAAACCCCAAACCCTAAACCCCAAACCCTAACCTCGGTCAGAGATGTTTGGGCTATAACAAAGATCGTCATTCTTAATCCTTGCTGGCTTTTCCTTAGACCAAAATGTCAAATCGTAGCCAACAAGGACCCAGGTTAGGGCGCCTCGGTCAGAGATGGCATGTCGGCATCGGTAATGCCGCAGTCGTGCAACACCACTTTGCGGAGAGCCTGGATCCTGGGTGGGGCTTTTAAGTTTCGGGCTTAGAGTTTAAGGTTTAGGGTTTCGGTTTAGGGTTCAGGCTTCAGGGTTCAGGGTTTAGGGCTTAGGGTTTAGGGGCCTTCCGAAAAGGGCTTATTGTTTAGGGCCTTTCTCAACCTTTACGCCCGGGGCTTTTATCCCAGAACCTTAAGGGTTCGCGAGGACTTAACCTGGGTTCTTGTTAAGGGATTTAATGTAAGTTACCATAATAAGGAGACCCTATTACTTGCTATAGATCCCTACTATGGTAACTCAAGTTAAACCCCTTAACCCTAAAACCCTAAAACCCGAAAAACCCTAAATCGCTAAATCCCTAAACCCTAAATCCCTTAACAAGAACCCAGTTAGGTGTGTGCCGCGACCGGCTCGTCGAAGCGGCCCACGAGGCAAAGCCCGGAACCGAACCGTCAACCCCTGCCGAAAATCAGGGTTTAGGGTTTAGGGTTCAAGGTTTAGAGTTTAGGGTTTAGTGCCTTTAGGGTGTAGGGTTTAGGGCCTTTAGGGGTTTAGGGTTCCGAGTTTAGGTGCTTTTTTTTGTTTTTTGTGGGCCCTTTTGGGGTTTAGGCTTCAGGGTTTAGGGTCCTTGGACCGACCTGGCAGCCCGGCCTGCGGACCCCAAAACCCCAAAACAGAAAAAAACCGGAACCCCGAATCCCAAATGGAGGGTTTCCGAAACTAGGGGACCTGAAAAGTACCTAGGATTTAAGGCTATAGGAGTGTAGGGTTTGGGATTTGAGGGTTTCCGAAACTCTTTTGGGGTCCTTAGAATAAGGATCCTACTATTTAAGGTGCTACATTAACCCTAGACCCTGAAGCCCAAAGGGAGGGTTTCCGAAAATAGGGGACCCTTAAAATAGTACCCTAAAGACTAGGATCCTTAGTGTAAGGACCCCAAAATAAGGTACCCCTAATTTTCGGGAAGTCACAAATGGGCAAACGAAAAGCCCACACCCTCCTGGGAACCATGGGAACTATAGTTGCCTTACTTATAACCCCACTTATAACTACCCATGAACCTCCAGGGATTTGCCAAGGAAACCCTCGGTTTAGGGGTTTAGGGTTTAGGGGTCTAGGGGTTTAGTGGTTTAGGGTTTAGGGGTTTAATAGACTCGGAATCCCAAATGTGCAAAAGAAAGGCCCACACCCTCTTGGAAACCATGGGAGATTGTAGCTCAGCAGCCATGTCAGGCGCAGAGCAAACCCCGGGGCGCCGATGCCGCACCTTGGAGGCCCAGGGGACTTGGTAAGTGGGATTAGGTTTAAGTTTAGGGGGTTTTAGTGCTTCTAAAGCCTTAAACCCTAAAAAGGCCCTAAGCCCTAAGCCCTAAGAAGCCAGGGAGCTTCAGAAGTGGGTTATAAGTAGAGTTATAAGGACCCCTAAATGGAGTTACCCTAATTATAACCCTACTTATAACCGACTTACTAAGTCCGCTGGGCCTCCAAGTGCAACAGGAAGGAGGCCAAAGCAGCATGTGAGGACAAGTCGGAAGGAGTATAGCAACAGCACATCATCACCATCAGCATGGTTATGAATCTCAGATTAACACCAAAACTCTAAGCCCTAAACCCTGAACCCTAAACCCTAAACTCTAAACTCTAAACCCTAAACCCAGATCATATTTTCGCACAACGCTGTCGCTAAGGCCCCCCGAAAGCCCGAAATGGGCCTCCGAGCTGCTCTGGGGAGGCCCTCGCTCTTGAACTTCTTGCAGTGCCGGAAAGCAAGCTTAGGGCCTAGCTGAGAACAGAAATTAAAGCAAACTACAGGTGAACAATTTAGGGTGTATAGGGTTTAGGGGTTTAGGGGTTTAGGGTTTAGGGTTTTAGGAAACTACAGCTGGGCAGTTTAGGGTATATAGGGCTCCTATAGGGCCTCTATAAGGTATATAGACCTTCTATAAGGCTCCAAAAACGGTAACTACCCACCTGAAAATGTCCTAGACAGAAAGGGAATGCCCCCGCAAAAGCCCCAAGGTCTACAATAAGGATGATACTGTTGATGATACAAATCCTGCATTACCTTTAAGGACCCTAAACTATGAAATTCATTACCTGTAAGGACCCTAAACTATAGGAATTATGGTATATTCCCTATTTTGAGGAATGCAGGATGTATATCATCAACTTAAACCCTAAATCCTAAACCCTAAACCCTGAACCTTAAACCCTAAACCCTAAACCCTACGTACTTTGTGCTTGTGTCACTCTAGAGTTCAAGGCACCGTCCTTCTCTCAGGAGTCTGTGCACCTCCTTGCACACAACATCAAGCTTCGAAACAAGCACCTTGCGAAAGCCCCAAAACAACCTTTAGGGTTTAGGGTTTAGGGCCTTGTTCAAGGTGTCTTCTGAGAGGTTGAGGGTACGTAGTAAGCAGGTTACACGTCAGCCTATGGTTGGGATATGTTTACCCCCTGAGTATGCACCAAAAACAAAAGTAGAACCGACGCCATGTCCCCTAATCCTTCAAACATACCGATGAATCCTTTAAGCGGGAATCATGACATTCCAAGTGTCTTGCCTAAACCCTAAAATACTAAACCCTAAACCCTAAATTGTCAGATTACTAAACCCCAAACTACCAAACCCTAAACCCTAGACCCTAAACTCCTAAACAACTAAGCCCTAAACCCTAAACCCCTAAACCCGAAAACCCTAAACCCGAAAACCCTAAACCCCTAAACCCTAAACTCCTAAACCCTAAACTACTAAACCCTAAACCCTAAACTCCTCAGCCCCTAAACCCTCTCAAAGAAGCAGCGGGCACCTCGAAAGCTCCAGCTGCTCAAGGGCTTGGAAAGGCTGCAATGTGTCGGCCAGGATATCGACTTCCGCCTGCTTGGAGGCCCAGGGGACTTAGTAAGTGGGATTGGGTTTAGGGGGTTTAGTGCTCCTAAAGCCTTAAACCCTGAAAAGGCCCTAAGCCCTAAGCCCTAAGAAGCCAGGGAGCTTCAGGTTATAAGTAGAGCTCTCAGGGAGTTACCCGAATTATAACCCTACTTATAACCGACTTTCTAAGTCCCCTGGGCCTCCAAGTGCCCCGCAGCAGCCTTTTGGGGTTTATAGGGCTTAGGAGTTATTGTGGGGTTTAGGGATTTAGGACTTAGGGTTTAGGGTTTAGGGATTTAGGACTTAGGGTTTAGGACTTAGGGTTTAGGGTTTAGCGATTTTGGGTTTAGGATTTTGGGTTTAGGGATTTAGGACTTAGCGTTAGGGTTTAGGGTTTAGGGTTTAGGGTTGAGGGTCTGGTCCTCAAGCCTAATTCCTAAACCCTAGTGGTGTTGAAGGCTTCAAAACCCCTGAAGCACGCTGACTTTAGGAATTTTAT